TGTTTATTTTTTGGAAGAAGAGAAACTAAAGGTCTGTTTTCAGTCATTCTGCGATGCAGTCTCATTGTACAGGAAGGAAGAGCATTTATGGTGGTGTGTTATGATGATACAATTTCACATGCTGTAAAATGGTAGCTAGCCTGGACAGCCATCAAAGAAATGTGAAAAATCAAGCTCCCCTACTGATATGGTATGTCCAAAAGAAGACTTAAAAAAAAAAAAAAAAAAAAATCTTCAGAGTCACATTTTGCATATTTTTATCCCTTGTATCTCTGGTTTTCTGTTTTATTTACATTTTATACAATGACTCTTATTTTGCTTTCACCTTATCATAATGTTCTTAAATGCAGTTGCTTCATGGTTAGATGAAAAGCTGGAACAAATTTCCTATTGCTGTTTCTTGTCAATGTCTGTAGTTTGGAGTCAGCAAAACCTTCCTCATTCCAGCAGCATTGACTGATTCAATTTCCATGCATCTTTTTTCCATGTATGAACTGTATCGCCAATATGCAGGAGGTCAGCTCACTAAAGCAAAGAATATTAACAGTGAGTTTCAACTCTTTTTTGAATTTAGCATCTAAATGACAAAAATGCTGTTGATGCATTGCTTTATAGCCACATCAAATGTTTTTTCTCTGAATTACATCTAACCTGAAGGCTACTCTTCTCTGTTAGCAAGTATTAAACAATCAGTGATAGCTTGGTCTGCCCACCTCTCCTTCCCCAGTGAAAGTTCATATTAAAAGCATCCCTATTAGCATCTCCACATAAAAACTGACATGAGTATCTCAACAGCACTTTAACTAATTCTTGCTGATCACTGACTTTCATATCAAGTTTGTGAACAAGAGGCAACAAATTCAAATGGAACTTCTGTGCTATGCAAAAACCACTCATATTTGAAGAAGAGAAGGAAAATTCTCTGAACAGAAGCCATGAATTGTCAAAGAGTAGAGAGAGTGCTTAACACTTTATGTAAGCCTAGCAGCAGCCCTCTTCTTGAAATAAAAGGATTCAAAGCAGTGCAGTGCAGTTGAGATGCTGTGAGCAAGCTGCAATAGGGAGCTTTCAGTGGCATTCTACAGCTCTTTGTAAATCAATTAAAAGAAAAGTAGAAAGCAGTCTAATCTATCCCTTCTGAAATATCTTGAAATATTTTTGCCACATCTTTTCCCGACTGTTCTACAGAAAACTGGATATGAAGGTACCAAAGTAACAAAAACAAAAAACTGCCTACAAGTTTTCTCAGGGATATTTCAAAGAGCTAATCCTAATATCAGATCCAAAAGGCTCTGCTCTACAATTTTAATGTTTTGAAATGTAAATTGAGTCATTGAATCATTTAACTTTACTTCATCTGATTATTATTAATATTATAATAAGGGATTTCAGAAAATTGAGAATTAAATTTCTTTACACCTCGCTTTCAGAATAGCCGTGACTCTCAATAACTATGTGTTCACTTAATTATCAACAGTAAAAAGCGGACTTTCCTGCGCATAACAGACTTTCTTAATTTAACAGTTGTGAAATAATGGTAGCTATTGGATTGTTTTGCAATGAAAAAGTGGCTCATATATGTATTGCAAGTAGTTCACTTAAAGAGAAAACACTTGTATTGCCAGAATTCCTGTTATTTTGCCTTGTGTCTCTATAGATCTTTTTTTTATCTCTTCAGTCCTTTTCATTTACTTCTTTAGCAAAAATACATGTCCCAGTGGCTTAGAACATATTTCTTGTTCTTCACTTCCTACATTGTAGCTTCTGTCCTTTCATTTTATCATTTCATTTTTCTTCTATCTCGCATATTATTTTATACTGAAAAAGAACACATCTTTGTAATGAGTTATATCTTCTTTCACTAGCAACTAATATCACCCTTTGCTCACTCCAGCCTTCACATTTAAAGACAATGAATCCGCTTCGCTTTTGTTCTATAAATAGAGATGCTAAATCTTAATTATCCTTTCAAGTTGTTATGTCTGTATCTAGCAATGCATATGAATGTTACTGACCAGCATATATGTACTGTTGAATTTATTTTTAATCCCAGATTGCATCCTTCAGGATACAAGACAACATCTGAAATAATTAACTTGTATTTAGATGGACACATGTCAAACGCTATCTGACAGACCTGTATTATTGATCTGGGTTTGCTTCATTCCGGAATTTCTGAAATATAATACCGCGCTGGAGCTATACAAGTTTGTATTTTCCTTTTATGCCTATCCTGTTCAGGCTGGATTCCCAAAGATAACATGCAAGTGTCAGGCATGAAATTTTACAATCCTCCTGTATCCCTTTCTTCATGAATTTGTAGCATGCTATGAAAGCTGAGCTGCTTAAAAGGATTTTATATTTTAGCCAAGCTTTCGCCTCCTAAGTGTGTAAGCCTTTACAAATATGTCCTTAAATTTTTAGTTGAAACAGTTTATAATAAGAAAGTTAGCTACTTTCTTTCCCTCCATAGCAACATTACTACTTCCTTTAAAAAAAAAACAAATTCCTTTGAGAGGAATTTTTGAAAACAAAGTCTAGAAGAAATGGTGCTACCTCAAGATAAATAAATCAGCCTAAAGATACCTAAATCAGCCTAATGTTACACTAAAGGTTCTGATTTAACTCTAAACCAAGAGCAGCTAGTGTTTCAACAAAAGATCTTCCAGAATGCCTCTGTAGCAAAGAGGATATATACTCAAAAGATCCTCTGAAGTTTTGATTCATATGGCAAAGAGGAATGTTGGGTCAGGCAAACTCACCTGAATGCAGCATGGTGTCATCCTGGGTAGCCACATTATCTATATGTAGGCGTGCAGTTGATGTACCCTATTCAGAAGAGGGTTTTAGAGAACCAGTAGCTTATTTTATATCTTTATAGCCTGTGGAATTTGTGCAAACAGCTGCAGTCAAAACATGCCTATTTGACTAGTCAAGAAAATACATCAACGACATTTCTCTGAAGAATAAAGGGTGGCGTTGGGTTTTTTCCCCCCACATTTCAAGATGTTCTTATTGTTTCGGAAGTGGGCTAAGTCACGCCATGCCGTTGTACGTGTGTTGTAGAGTGCTCTCTGGGCCCTTTTGGGAACAATGTTTAATGTCCTTGACACTGCAAAGGCAGAGGTGTTGCACTGAGCCTGCGGAAAACTTTGGCTGGTGCTTAAGCTGCGTATGCACAATGGGCAGCCTGAGTCCCAGAGGTTTAAAATGTCATGCTTTGGTGAACTTCATTTGTATTGCGGTTTTTACTTGGACAGATTTAATGATATGTTATGCCTGTTAATATTAACTATAGATAAGAACTTTCCTGTAGAAATTCTGATCCTTCCTACTTAATCCTTCACCAACTTCTGACTTCAAAGCTTTTTTCGTGATTTCCTTCTCCTGGAAAAGAAGCACTTGCTACTTCATACTTCTCATTACCTCCAATAAAACATTGTTTTTTCAGGCTTCCCTGCAGTATTTTCCTTGCCAATGAGTACTGTACACCCACCTTTGCCTGAACTGGTGCTCTGTTTTTATCCTGCTGGCACCAGCTTCTGCAGAACTTGAGGACAGATGGTATATTTTATCTGGTGTTTTTGTGTGTTCTCAGAAACATTTATGGGACTCTGTCAAGTTAGCAAAATGGTGATTATTAATATTACATCATTTTTGCTTCCTCTCCAGCCAGAAGAATACTGCAAAAGCTGCTTTTCTTGTTTTGGTGGCATTGGAATCAGGGGATTACAGAAAAATCAAAATTATTTTTTTAAAAATTATTTAGGTTTTCACCTTTTTTTATAATTTCCTTTATTTCTTGGCTTTTGTTCCCGCTCCAGGCAGATTTCTCATTTTAATCGGATTGCTCTACCCATCGCAATTATGTTTTGTGTTTTGCATTGTGTCTCTTTACGGCATCTCATTCCAGGAGGGGAGAACTGGGAACCAGATTTCTGAAAATGAAAAAGCTGAACAATAAGCAGCTAATGTATTGGGCCCGGATGCTTCCTAAGAGCCCCAGGGAAACTGGCTGCTGCACAGGTCCAGCACAAGATGAATACATCATTTTATGTCCCAGGATAAAGTCCCCAGGAAAGCTTAAGTAATTCTTAGACTATGTATATCTTTTATCCTGTGACAGAAGGGATTATTTTTGCATAGGCTTCTTTTTCCTTGTGTGGAGGGAAGAAAAACTGCTTACTGCAGTCAGAACGCTATTCTGCTATTACATGGAAAACAAGCCATTTACTTTTTCTGGCATTAATACCTTTTCCTCTGAGGAACTGGCATTTTAGAGACAGCAGTCAACAGGGAAGCCATGCTGCCCTCCAGTTTGCTACCATTAACAAAATCAAGGGCAGAGATGGTTCAGAGCCTCTGGACAGGCAGCTCTTTACTCTTGGAGGCCAGATGAATTGTGAAAGCAAAGTCTAGCTTAGTCTCCACAGAGAGGGATGGCAAATTGTGTTCTTCCTGCAGAGTGTATGTTTAGGGATTCTTTTTTCCTTTTTCTATCAGGCTTTTTCCTTCCATCTATGACCTCAAGCTCCTTTGTCTCAAACCACCATTTGGCTACATACTGGCTCTCTTTCCTTCTAAGCACCTGCTTTGATCTCCCACAGTAGAGTGCCAGCAAATCTGACAAAGGCAGAGGTTTGCCTTTTCATCTGCTCACTAGATTGTTAGTCAAAAGCAGCAGAGAAACATTGTGCAACCTGTCAATGCAATTTAAAAAGCCATATTCTAAATTGCCACCGAGGGTTTGTTCACTGGAGCAGAAGTCCTCCAAGAACCAGCTCTCTGGGGCTGTTCCCCTATTTTACGTCAGAGCAAGGTACTGCTAAGGCTTCCCACACAAATGTTGCAGGGTATGAAATTAGCCTGCCGATCTTTGGAGAGCAGCTTAAAATAAAGCAGGTATTGCCAGCTTGATGAAGTTGCACTCCATTTAACTTATCATAAAAATATCAGTTTTCATATTTGACCATCTCTGTTTGTAGGGAGAAATGACTTACTGAGGGTCACCTCACGCTCTTGCAGTCCAGGCTCACAGAAGACCCCTCTCCGCATCTCCTGCCAAATCAAACAAGGCAGTGAGTCGGCCTCCCCTATATATTAATATTTTTTTAACACAACATCTGCCCCTCTTGGTTTTCAGTCTGTGATCAAAATTCCCTCAATTCTGAGTAAAAGCTGAGTAAGGACCTTGGGGTATAGCCTGTGGCTGCTTGGGGACTCTACTGGCATCAGGCGTGGAATGAGTTGCTCTGAGATTGGCTCGTTCCCTGGTATTTCCTCCTGTCAGAGCCACAGATGTGCTTCATTTCATTAGGTGTAGCTATGGGCAAACTGCCATCCAGCTCTGCTGCTGACTTTATCCCACTACTGCTGAAGGCCAAATAATCATAATCATTTCAAGTTGATAGCACAGTATATTTCCCCAGGGAATGCTGTTCAAATTAAATCAGTCATACCAACAGTGATTTTATAATTATATAAAGGGAGCCCTCTACTCCAGTTATTTTTTTTTTTTTAAAAAATCGTGCATTCTATCAAATGGTTATTGCTCTTTCCAAAGTATTTTCTTCCCACAAATCTTGATACTCTTTGCCTTTTTTTATGTGAAAAAAATCGTTATTCTGATAATTAGCATGCTTAAGTGCAATCAATGTCAAAATAAAAACAAATGTAAATTTCAGAATTTATTTATGATGTAGGCATGAGCTACCATAAGGTGATTTTCTGTTGGTGATGGCAATAAAGTCAGAGCATCGACTAGCCTACTTTTGAAAGCACTGTGCATTTCTGAAGGCCAGATTAGTTATTCCAGTCGCGCTCAATGGAGAATGAAATTCTCTTGTGAAATAACCATTATTGATATCTATTGGTCAATCTCAAACTCTCCAGCTCCAAGTTCAGCAAGGAGTTCTGTCTTGAAGACCCTGAGTAATTTCCCGGTGTTACTTAGATGCTTGCGGTAGCGCATGTGCGTAAGCACTTGAGCAAAGCAGGCCCCATGTGTTCTGACATAGCAAGCTGGGTCATGAGTGAGCACAGCTGATCTCTTTGCAAGTGGGTTATTCCAGCATAATGCAGCTCCTGCCTTTTTGTATTAATGCTCCCATTTTCTACAGCAGAGCAATAACACGAGTAGCAAAAAAACCTTATTTCTCTTAGTGCAAGCAAACTGCTGAACACTTACGATGCTCTGAGTTAGATAAGGAGCGCCAGCTTCGGAGCAGGATGAGGCCTCCTCTTTAGGCTAGATCAAATTGATTGCAAAAGAACTAGAGCTAAAATTGTTCCACCTTTTTAGAATGGGATGATTTATATCTGCTTTATGAACAGGAGATAAAATGTTCTGCTTCTTACACTCTCCACAGAAATAAAACAGAACTAAAAATATATCCTAATGCAGACAAGTTTAAAATAGAGCTCAGAGCAGACAAGTGTTCATGAGCAAATGAGTTAATGATTTCTGACTGGTTGGGCATATACCGAAATATTAAACATAACCTTTCCTAAGTGTGTGTGGTTTTATTCCATTGCTAGGCAATAAGTAGCATCGAGTGGCAGGAGTTGTGAAATCTTTCATTGTATGAGGTTGAATCATTTTTTGAGGCATGATTTCAGCAGCGTGCAGGTGAATTTTGTGAATACGTCCCTTCGTCACTCATTTTGCTGTGCTCTCGACTACTTAAATGTATGATACGGCAACTGATTCCTTTTAAGGTGGTCATAAAAGTTTTCCCAAGGCTATGATATATAAGAGAAGGGAACTTTGAACGGTCAAAATTTAGGTCTGAATCTGATTTTCAATCAGATGAGACTTCTGAATTTTATGTTTCTGTTAGTTTATCGCAAGTGTTCCCTTTCTTCTATCATGTTATCATCAGGGGCTAGTGAAAGCATCAAGTTCAGGAGATCTCTGGTGGGTAGGAAAACAATGAAATTTTTGTTCTGTGACTGTAGCTTTTGTTATGGTAGTTTGTTTTTGTCTGTCTTTAGAAAATAATTTAAATCTCAAATGAACACTTCTGCTGTCAGAGAGAGACAAAACTGATTTAAAGTTTTTAGCATGATAATAACCTGTTCTCAGTTTGGCAATTCCTGAGAAATAAAAGGCTGGGTTATATTATAATCAGTCACTGATTTACAGTATGTTTTGGGGGCCAAAGTTCTGCAACCAAAATTCCAGAATTAAGTGTTCCTGTCTGTTTCAGCTGATCTTCTGGCAAGCAATGCTTCAGCACAGTTCAGCTTTACTGGTCAGAAATGTACATCCTTTGCCTTTCACCAAAGGAGAAAAAGGTCTTTGCTTTTCCATCATTAATCCTCAAATCTTCTCAAAATGAAATAAAATTGCTACTACACTGAAGAGTCTAATTCCCAGCAATTGATTCCTCAAAGTGCACATCACTACTTCTCATCTATTAGTCTCCCTCCATCATAAACCATATTAATGTAGCATATTGATGTAATTAGTCTTTTAACACCTACAGAGACAAATGTAGCATGCTGTGCCTCATCAGTGTAATAAAGGTTACATGGAGAGCTGTATCAGAAGACAATGCGCATGCTGTGTATACGTGATCTTATATTCCACTTTGTGTGCTATATTTTGGCCCTTGAATTCACATCTGGCCACAGCCCATTGCTACGGTTTAGCAGTCCTACATGGCTATAGGTGAGGGCAGTGCTTGACTCTCACGGGGAAGGTTCTATAATTTTCTTCTGAGTTTTGGATAACATATATGGTAGTGCAGCCTTGCTCCACAATAGGGTTGCTGAGGTGCTGCTGACTGGCAAATAATAACGTTGGGAGAAAAGCTGTTGCTCACCTAAGCCCGTTCTGTTGGCTTTTCCCCACGTGGCCATCCGTGCACCAGTGAGCCATAGCCAGCCTCGTGTGAGGAGTTATCTTACAGTTTAGCCTGTCATTACAAACATGCCTTGTTATTCACGAAATGTGTTAATTTATCATTCACTTATAGTGATTACAGTTTCCTCAGCTTAGTGATTTTCCTATGATCCAACTGACTGTGGCATCAGTTATTTGCTTTCTTCTTACAAAGCATTTAATATGCTTTCTACCAAATTTTGAGTATCAGTCTAGAAATATGGGTTTCACAGTGTTTCCTCTCTCCAGGACAATGCTTTAACCTAAGCATTGAGGCTAGGAGCCTTTGTTGTCATCAGAGAGAGATTGTTTCTTTTTTTGACCATGTCTGACCAACTTTTGATTGACCAAAACTTCCGAGTCACTAGAAAGAGTGACTTCACTCAGTTGTGATTCTGTTGCACTCCAGTCTTGCCTCAAAGAAAACCCCTTCCTTCCTTCTCCCCAGGGCATGCTACCAGCATTTGTTGTGGCTGCCTTTGTCCTTTACTAAACTAATTTATATTCCCTAACATAATTTCTTCCTCTTCATTCTCTTTTTAACTCCTAGTTGGCCTTCATCTACATAGTGAAATATTTTCTTTTCCTTTATTTTTACTTATTTTGTCTAATTTTTATCATATAAGTGATGGGAGCTAAAGAAGTCAAGCAATAGTGTTTCTACCAATTAAATTAGAACTAGAGTATCTACTGCTTAGGGCAGCCTTTAACAGCTTGATAACGTGATAAACTGGAAACAGACAGACCAGTAAAACTTTCTTCTTTGCCTGAATTCTGTTTTCCGTATACATTAACTACGTCATTAATATCCTCTGTGCTGGCAGCAATGCTTAGCATAAATCCAAATTAAAGAATTCATGAGACAAAGACATAGTGACAAGCTTGGGCTGGAGTATGACCAACATCATATGGATTTATAGGAGCAAGAAATGCAGCTATGAATAAATACCTGTCGTGGTTTAACCCCAGCCAGCAACCAACCCCCACAGAGCCGCTCGCTCACTCCCCGCCGGTGGGATGGGGGAGAGAATTGGAAGAGTAAAAATGAGAAAACTCATGGGTTGAGATAAAGACAGTTCAATAGGTAAAGCAAAAGCTGCACACGTAAGCAAAGAAAGGAATTAATTCTTTTTTCTTCGCTCTGCTCTATATGCATGATGCCATGCGGTGTGGGATGGGATTTCCGTTGGGTCAGTTGGGCTGTCCCAGCCGTGTCCCCTCCCCTCCCAACTTGTTGTGCCGCCCCCAGCCTCCTCGCTGGTGGGGTGGGGTGAGAAGCAGAAAAGGCCTTGACTCTGTGTCAGCACTGCTCAGCAGTAACAAAACCATCCCTGTGTTATCAATGCTGTTCCCAGCCCAAATCCAAAACATAGCCCCATACCAGCTACTGTAAAGAGAATTACCTCTATCCCAGCCAAAACCAGCTCAATACCCTTCAAGAAGATAACTGTATCCTTGCTCTAGTTCTGCTCTCTCCGCCTTGGCTTTGGGCACTGTTGCCTGAACTTTAATGCTGCTTTTTTAGATCAGCCTTTAGAGTCTAAAGTCTGTTCTCCAAATGACCACTTTTCCTTTTTTTTAAATGGGACTTTTATTACAATGTTGCTAATGATAATGCAGTTCGCAGAAGACTCAGAGGTAAGAATGCAGAGGCACACCAATCGTGTTCCCTCCGAGTGGCTAGAGACCAGGGCCCCGGGACATTTATTGTCAGATGATAAGAAAAAGTTATCAAGCGGGAATAATGCTTCAATGGTTCTCAAAATATTATAATTAAACAATAACTGCAATGTATGCTGGTTGTATGTTGTCACTTGTCGTAGCTGAACTGGTATGCGGTGAGGCAATGGCATTGCCAGAATATATCAGCAACTGTAGAAAACCTATGAAACAATGGGTAGATAGGTAATCAAACAGACTGACTGACTGGCATCTGCACTTGGAAGCTGATATATTTTGTTTGGGCTTCTTGCTCTAAGGAAGGGGCGTTCTGGTTTCGGTCAAGTCTTGGAGGTTATCTTCCCCCCGCCGTTAATGACAGGGAATCCTTTGCCATCTAAATAGTTCTTCTGCCTTGCAGAACTAGGATGCTGCACTGCAAGCCTCTTTGTTCCTAATCCTAAGGAATAAATGAACAACTAAAATATGTAATTGTCATGCACAAAATTAT